TATCTTGCTTTCTAAATTATGTTTTTTTAAGACCTCTACAATATATTCGGTAACTATGTCAGACCTTTCTCCTGGCTAATCCTTTACTTCAATAATTTTTACCTGTATTCAATTCTTGTATGAAAAATATCTGACAAGTAAAGGAATAAGTTTAATTTCTTTGTGATTTGAGGCGTATGAATACACTGACATAAAACTTACGTTTCTCAGATCTTCAGCCAATATTTGATTTGCATAAGGGACAAGTCCATCGGTGATTATAGCTTCGCATTTGGTCCTAGAGCATGTGAATTTAGCATCGAAGCATGCCTTAATAAGTTTACAGGTACAGTCCATTGATCGAAAAGATTGATTATGCATAACTGTATGATATGCTCACAAACCTTCAGCTGCAGCTATTTTCTTCTCGGCAGTTTCAAATTCTTTTTTCTTAAAATATGATGTCATACTCGAACTTGCAATTGCTGCTGACACTGCTCGTTTGTGTTTAACTGTTTTTATGTGGTTTTCAATGTCGCTTTTTCCACTATTTGCAATAGAAAACGTATTTCTACATTTTTCACAATATACTTCACTAGGATCAATATTTTTACTTTCTTTAATAAATGTATATCAGACCACCACTGGCTTGTATGACGTCGTGGCGGTCCTGCTCATGCGACACCAGACGATATCACATGGAATTATCAGGGTTGCCAGTTCTAATTTTATTATTTTTATTTTATTACTTTTTTTGCTTTAAAGTTTTCTAATCTAAAACCAGTACTTTTCGTGTACTGGTTTTGTTTAATGACTAACCAGGACTTATGCCCTGAAAAACAGTACTGTACTGGTAAAATCAGTACGAATGGTCACCTTATTTAAAATAATTGAAACTATTACTAAACGAAATTAAAGTGTTCTTAATAATGAAATCACTAGATAAAACTGAATTAACTAAAGTTAGAATGCCACTAAGAAGCGGTTCCACAAAAGCTGCTAGCAGCGTAGAGGTAGCGTTGAATACGAAACCTAATAATTACGATGAATTAGATATTTTGTGATCACTCTTAAGTGATAAATTCCGAAAATTAGAAGTGACCGATAACCAAATTATAAACATTCTCTCAAAAGATACACAAATATCACAAAATGACTCTGATTCTGAAGCTTCGTATGCAGACAAATACGTTATGCTCAAAACGAAAGTGGAGCGTTTAAGTAATAAGGAATCGCTTAGTCAGCAACCGCTTAAAATAAATAATGATTCCTTTTCTGAATCGGTAAATAAAAAGACTGTTAGATTACCGAAGATAGAATTGCCCAAGTATGATGGTTCAATTAAAGGGTGGAATGGGTTTTGGAGTTTGTTTAAAAAAATTAATGGTGACCCAGATTTATCGGCAGAAGACAAATTTGTTTACTTAATTCAGAGCACTGCAGAAAAATCACGTGCTCGTGACCTTGTGGAGAGTTTCCCCCCTATCGCTTCGAATTATCCTCTTGTAATCGAATGCTTAAAAACGCGTTTTGGGAAAGATGAACTTCTTATTGAAGTATACGTAAGAGAACTTGCGAGTTTAGTCTTAAATCATAATAAATGCAATTTGGTTAAACTTTATGATAAAATCGATGCGTACTTAAGAGCCTTAGGTACGTCAGGAGTTACTTCGGACAAGTATGCAGCAATGTTGTACCCACTGGTAGAAAGCTGTTTGCCAGATGATATTTTGAAAATATTGGAGCGCCATATTAGCTCTCTTTTAGTAAAAAATAAGGAAGAGGGGAAAATAAATAAATTAACTCTTCTCTTGGAATTTTTGAAATCAGACGTAGAAGGAGAACAAAGATTAGCCATTGCTAATAATACATTTGATTATGAAAGAGAAACACATAAGAAATATTATAAGCGTAATTTTGATGAAAACAAATATGATATTCCTACTGCTTCAGGACTGTTAAATACAAATGATAATTTTGAAAGAAAGTGTATTTTTTGAGCTAAAAACATTATTCTTCAGATTGCAATAAAGCGAAAAATATGAGTTTAGATGAAAGACGAGAGCTAATTAGGAAATCTGGTTGCTGTTTCAAATGTTTAAAAAAGGGTCATGTTTCTAAAGAGTGTTATTGTAAAATAAAGTGTTCTTGTTGCTGTAAATTTCATTGTACTATAATGTGTCCAAATTTGTCCAATAAATCCAAAATAGCAGATACCCCTAAACCTGATGAATATTCGGAGGACGAAATGCTAACAATTCAGTCGAATAAAAATAGTGTATTGTTACAAACTTTGCAGGTATATCTTAGAGCTAAAAATACTAGACATCTTATACGGGCCCTGATTGATACAGGTGACCAGCATTCCTATATTAGTGCAAAGACTGTAAAATTGATGAACTATAATACATAGCTTATTTGGTGGCCTTGAATCTCCGCAACAAACGCATTGCTGTTTTAGAGTATATTTAACTAGTTTGGATTAAACTTACAATTGTAATTTCGAAATATTAGAACAGGAAATGATATGCGGTGACATAAAGAAAACTCCTCGTGGACCATGGATGAAAGAACTTCGGAAAAGAGGAATAAATTTAACTGATTTGGATTATCGTTCCTCTCGCGCAGTCGATTCTGAGATTCAGCTACTGATAGGAGCAGACGTTGCTGGGAAGCTGTTAAACGGTAAAATTCAGAATTTAGAAGATGGGCCGGTTGCAGTTGGTATGCACCTGGGCAGGACAATCATGGAGAAAATTCCACACGTGTCTCCTGTTTCGGAATCCTGTTTGTCAATCATATACTTACTCACTAGTGACATCAGCCTGCCAGACATGTGGAGTTTAGAAAGAATAGGAATTGCAGATCCAGTCGAAAGTCAAACGAAAATTGAGCTATGCCAGGCTGCTTATGAACATTTTCAAAGCAATCTAAAATTGAACAATGAAGGCAGGTATGAAGTGAAGTTACCTTGGCTTCAGCTACACCCTGCACTTTCTGAAGGGAGAGAATTAGCAGAAAGAAGATTGCGAACAACAATTAATCGATTGAAAGCAGCTCATATCCTAGAAGCTTATCAAGACGTTTTGCTGGCTTGGTTGAATGAAGGAATTATAGAAGAAGTGAATATGGATAATGAGATTCTACCTGGACATTTTCATCCTCACAGAGCTGTAATTAAAAATTCATCAGCGATAAAAATAAGATCCGTTTTCGATGCTTCAGCACGAATGAAGAATTCAACCTCTTTGAATGAATGTCTTGCCAAAGGGCCTAATTTTCTAGAACTTATTCCCACTGTTTTAACTCGTTTCCGCATGATAAAATTTGCGGTAACCGGGGATATTAAACAGGCCTTTTTACAGGTCAGTATGTCTAAAGAAGATTGGAACTATTTAAGATTTCTTTGGATGATAGACGGTGATTTGAATAAACTAAAAATTTACAGACACTGCAGGGTTGTTTTTGGACTCACGTGTAGTCCATTTTTGTTAAGCGCCACACTTAAACACCACTTAGCGAAGGTTCCACCTCAATTGAAGGACACTGCTTTGTTGTTACAGGACTCTTTTAATGTTGACAATTGTCTCGCCAGTTTCGACAGAATTGAAGACAGTGAAATTTTTGTGGAACAATCGAAAGAATTGTAATTATCTGGAAAATTTGATTTGAGAGGATGGCGGAAAAATTATTCTATCTTAGAGATCTCCTATTCCAACCATAATCACTGAAAAGACAGAGAAGCTGGACGAAGGAAACTTAATTTCGACATTGGGACTTTCCTGGGATTTATCAAAAGATGTATTGTGCTGCAATTCAAATTATAACGTAACTAAAGATCCTTTTCTAGTTACAAAAAGGAAAATTCTGGCTGTTTCTCAACAAATTTATGATCCTCTAGGCATGGTTTGCTCTTTTACGTTGTTGCCAAAATTACTTCTCCAAGACTGCTGAAAACAAAAGATTCCATGGGATAAAGAACTACCTGAAGATATCGCTAAGAAATTTCTGAATTGGTAAAATCAAATTGCACTTTTGAAAGACATTTTTATTTCTAGATGGTTCATGAAAAAAACTTTTCCCTTGAAACACTGTAGCCTGCATGTGCTTGCCGATGCCAGTCAATATGCTTATGCTGTTTGTATTTTTATTCGACTAGAAACCGAAGAATCCGTGTCCTGCGAATTAGTCAGAGCTAAGAACAGAGTATCACCATTGAAGGCAATAACGATCCCAAGACTTAGCTTGTTTAATTGCTGCTCGCCTAGCTGAGAATGTTAAAAAAGACATAAAAGAACCAGATATTGAAATATACTATTGGACTGATTCCTCAAATGCTCTTGGGTGGATAAAAAAGAGAAGATTATTGGGCTACTTTTGTCGCCAATCGAGTAAAGGAAATTCGAACTGTATCTCATCCTAATGATTGGCATCACATACCTGGAAAATATAATCCTGCAGATATACCGTCTCGAGGTAGTACCATCAAACACCTAATTGAATCAAGATGGTTACAGGGCCCAGAATGGCTAAAGTATCGGAAGGAAAGATGACCCGAATCAGTTCAAATTGAGGTGGACGAGGAAATTTTAAGTCAAGAGAAGAAGAAAGCTGCTATTGTAAATACAGAGAAGATACCATGGTATCAAAACAAGTTTTCTTCATACCCTAAGTTTGCAAGAACAATCTCTTGGGTGATACGTTTCCTTTCTAATGTTAGGAAGCCGAGGTTAAAAAGGTATTCTCTTACACTCACCGTTGAAGAAATAGAGCAAGTTGAAGTAATTTTAATGAAAGCCATACAATTAGAAGCTTTTGGAACCGTTTCTAGTCCTATTTTGAAATCATTACAATCACAATTGGATGATTCTGGTGTAATTTGAGTGACCACCCGTTGTATTCAACGAGAAGACACCGATGATTTTAAACGACCCAATGTGCTTCCGAGTAAACATCCTATTGTTGATTTGCTGATACTTGAAAATCATTGTAAGTTGAATCACGCTGAAGTTCAAACCTTAATGACTCTGTTAAGAGAAAAATTCTGGATAGTAAAATGTAGAGGAACTATTCGTCGAGTCATTAGGGGATGTATAAATTGCCAACGATTTAAAGTTCAGAATGCAGAGGTATTGCCAGCTCCTTTACCTGAGAAACGTGTGAAAAACGCTGCTGCTTTTGAAATAACGGGCATAGATTTAGGAGGACCACTGTATTTAAGTAATGGAGAAAAAACCTGGTTTGTTTTATTTACGTGTGCAATAATCAGAGCAGTACACATTGAACTTGTTCCATCACTGAGCACTGAAACCTTCTTACTAGCTTACCGAAGGTTCGTTTCAAGAAAAGGAAGACCCTCTCATGTCTACTCTGACAACGGAAAAAACTTTATAGGAGCTAATAATATTTTCCAATCCATCGACTGGCAAAAAGTCGAAGAAATAGCTTCAATACAAAGAATTAAGTGGACGTTCATCCCTCCTACCGCCCCGTGGAGGGGCGGATGGTGGGAGCGGCTTATTGGAATGACCAAAGGAATATTGCGAAGAGTATTTGGGCGAGCTCGGCAAAATTTTGATGAACTGTATATCATTTTGTGCGAAGCTGAGAGCATTATAAATAATCGACCTCTAACTTATCTTTCCGAAGATATCGACGACTTACATCCTTTAACTCAATCTTTATTTCTGAAAGAAATCCGATTTGGAAGTTTACCTGAACTAGACGTATATGATTCAGCACATCTGAATAAACGCTTCCGCTATCGCCAGAAATTAAAAGAAGATATAATGAAAAGATTCCGTATTGAGTACTTGAGTCAATTGAATAATCATTCACAAAACAAACTCCCCACCACCCTTAAAGTTGGCCAAATTGTTCTTGTTGGAAATGACAATGCTAAAAGATTAGACTGGCCTATGGCTAAAATACTAGAACTTTATCCTGGAGTTGATAGAAACTCTCGTGTTGCACGAATAAAAACTATGAAGACTTTATCCATTGGAAGTAGAAGATGAAAAGAGATCCTCCTTGATTGAAGAGTCAGCATCAATGGAGACTTCGAAGGCGAACTGTCAAGAACAAAACACCCGATGTGGTCGGGTAGTAAAACCTATTCAGAGACTCGAACTGTGACTTTATACACTAATGTGACTTTGCTTGCGTACTTTCCTTTATATATTTTAAAGTATGCGAGGGTGGAGCAATGTCGAAAATGCAACCGCCAAAAACAGAACTTTCCTAACGTATGCGCGTTAGGAGTTGTTGTCTTCACACACTTAAAAAAGGCAGCATGTCAGTTGTCATCTAGTGGCATATCTTTTATTTTTCTGTAATTTACTCGTGTTAATAAATATATATCTATGTTTTTCCAGATCGTTTATTTTGCTAAGAAATCTTTTACAGGCCCCGGCGTCAAAAGAACCTAAGAAAGGGGTAAGTACCCTTTACATATCATTCAAACTATTTGTTTACATCGAAAGCAATAATTTGCATTAATTAGAGTTCATTTCTTTTATGCTGAATTTTATGCTGTATAAAATGGTTAGAATGGTCATAAAATAACCTACTTCTGGTAAATAGTTTTGCTACGGCAAATAGCAACCTTGGCTTGCATTTGAGCGCTTTAAAAATACCTAATAATGGTGGAACTTTCCTCTGCTTTTATAAAAAAAAAAGGAAGGAATAAAAATCGGTGTTTTGTTTCTTCAAAATATCGAATTTTGGTGTAATCTTCTATTGATATTTGGAGCCAGTGAAAATATCAAAATATGGTAAAATTGAGCTCCATTTTATGCAGCCAGCAAATGAATACCGATTTTTGGTGCCATGTGGCTCGGAATTTTTTACAGTGTATAACAGTTTCAAAAATTTTATCTTATTAGAAAAACTTAACTCTCTGAATCCCTGCGACCCTTAGATGGAACCTTGAGGTTCTGCAGAACACCTTTTAGGAACCACTAATTTAAACAGTATAAGTGCAATTAGTTATGATGGCTAATCTCAAATTTTTGTTGCAGTGATGCAGTATGTTTAAAAGATATAAACGAAAAAGTGACAATATTCAAGTTAACGGTGAAAAATTTCTGATCCAGAGTCACTTGTGTTATTTGCAATTGACAAACGGAACATAGCGTCAAAATTTTTTTAAAAATCATTTTGAACTAATAGATAACCTACAAATATAGATTGAATTTTAAACTTTTAAAATACTCCATTAACAATAATAAAAGACGTACAATTAAAAAAAATAAGTTTGTTTACCAAAAAGTACGATTTGCTGAATAAATATATAAGTTTTAAATTTTTACTATAATAGGGTAAACCAACCAGTGAAGGAACACTACTCAGTGAAGGAACATTTCACATATATTGATGAAAAATAAGAATTTGAAAGTTTTTCTTTAGATTGATTGGTAACAATAGCTTACTGCCAAACAATAGGAAGTCATCTAGCAACGTTTTGGATTAAATGGTCAAACAGACTTCTCTGGAAAATTTTTTGAATTTGTTATTATCTCTGCTACACCTTGTCTGTTTGAAAAATTATAAGGTGAGTGTTTGTATTTATATATTTGAAGTGGAATTAATTGCATGTAATAGTTTTATTTTTCTCACTGTGAAAAAGAGAATTCAAAATATAGTTATTGAAGTTACGTTTTATTTTTTTTAAGCATCATAGCATAATAAAGTACTGAGATAAGGGGGTGTTTATTCACTGGATCACCAAACGATGAAAAACCAGTGAAGGAACAAGTGTTCCTTTACTGGTTTTTTTTCTAAGTTAATGAAAATAAAAGATAAACTTTAATTTTCTTGTACCTTTAGTGATGTTCCGCATCAAAAGTATGTTAAAAATACGAAAAACAACTTCTAACCAGTGAGGGAACAGGCATGTTCCTTTACTGGGCATAGATTTCCCAGTGAATGAACAGTATGTGTTAATATGTTGACACTTTAATTTTCAATTCATGATTACAAAAAAAAGTTAACATTTTCCAAGTATTTATATGTTATAATTTCAAGAATAGGCTTGTTTTTGAATATTTGTATGGCTTATAAATTCATAAAGAGCATTAAAAATAACCAAAATTAAGTGTTCCTTTACTGGGTGTTCATTCACTGGAAGAGCTAATCCTTCACTTGGTCTTCTTACTACTTGTTATTTGAACCTCCAAAACTTTAAAACAATTATATGTAAGTTCTCTACAATTTTTTTACATAATTTGGAATGAGTAACAAATATGTTGACACTGTCATTTAACTAAAAATTGCGAATTTTGAAATTAATAGGATTTTTTAAAAGGCAAGCGAAGCTTACGTGTTCCTTCACTGGTTATTTTACCCTACCCTGAAAATAAAATAAAAATTAAACAAAGAAAGTAATCCCGCGAAGAAAAGGTATGTATGAAAATGAAGGTAGACAACGTAAATAAAAACTAATTAAGTATTAAAATGGATGTATTTTATTAAGAAATAATTATCCAAAGAAGGCGGAAATATATATTCGATGATGTAAAAACTTCATTTGCTTATAAAAAAGGAAGATGGTGAAAGTCGATGAGCTTCTAGCGTTTTAAAATAGGAGCTCATTCTCAAGACTCGCCAGTCGTGAATAAAAAACACGAAAGAAATTTTAAACATGAAACGTAAAGTTGCTGACAAAAAATGGAACATACAAGTGAAAACGAAACTAGAGAAATCGCAGAAGCTGATAGGCAAAAATGAAACAAAAATTGAACAAAGCTTGAAGCAAAAATGAAGTGAAAAAACAAAACTAGAAAAATCTCAGCCAAAAGAGGCAAATCAGGGCAAAACGCATTTACCCTGGTTTAGCATACCCAAGCATACCCTGAAGCAGAGGTGATGAGGAGCTCATGGAAATCTTCATATGCCTAGTTTTGGGTTTCACTTTCATTTTTGATTTTTCGTTGGTAACTTTCCGTTTTCTGTTTTAAATCACTTTTGTTTTCCTCATCCACGTCTGGCGAGTCTTGAGAATTGACGTCTATTTTTGAGAGCCTCGAAACATGCCGATTTTTATTACTATAGATATTATAGTGCCAGTTCTGTAATCAAGAACTTTTTTCTATGTCAAGATTGTTTAAGAGTTATTAAAAGAAGAAAATGTATTAAAACAGTTTTGTTGTTGGCACGGTACATGAGAAAATTTCGCTCAAACAATTTTGTTTGTTTATGCCAATAATTTTCTAAAAGAAATCGATAATAAATAAAGATTCATACAATAAATATACCATACATACTATTAAGACAAGATCAGTGTATAAATTTTTTTTGGAATACTCGGAATTTTTTATTTTAAATGTTGGAATTTTAATAAGATTTAAATAAAATGTACTATATATTTCCAATAAACAGATAGGGTTAATGTAATAATAAGTTCATAATTTCATAAACATCCACAGTAAAATTTCAACTTTTTTATTCCAGTTATATTACAATTTTACGTTTTATGTAATTGCTCACAATTTATGCATTTTAAATAATTATTTTACAGCGTTTGGCTATACTCAATTAAACTAAGTATGCCATAGATATTATTAAAAAAAATGTTAGTTTATATCATTCCATCTAACTCTCTGCTTTTCCTTATGCCTTTAGGTTTATACTTGATTAATCCCATTGCGGATTGCAATTTAATTTTTTGCTGATACATTTCGTTTGTGTTCTCCACTTTTTTATTAACATTAACACATTTCAGTCTATGAATATTTGAAAATTGATAACCTAACCTTTTTTTACTTAATTAATTTTTACTTAGTTACTTTTTTACTTAATTTTTTTACTTAAGCAAATGTGATTTGATATGCGGCCAAGTGAATTCCGACCTTAGATAATTGAGCGTCACGTGATGAATACCATGGTTTTTCTAGTGTTTTTTCCTGTTCATTAAAGTAAGAACCAAAAGAAAGTTTTTTTTTTGGTAAAAAGGAAAATAAGAAATGTTTTTTTCTTGGAGAATTGAGACATATTTAAAAAGTAAAGTATTTAAAATGTATAGTAACACGTTAAAATAAAGCAAAATTGATTAAGTCAGTAACATTGGATTTTTTATGCTTTCAATGTTAACTTGCTTTTATATTTCTATTTTTTCTTACAAGGAGACATTTAATCGTGGAAAAAGACGTCATCTAAAACTTAAATCGCTAACCTAAATACTTTGCGAAAGCTAAGCTTCAAACCAAATTTTGGAGCTAATATCGTATGCATTTATTTAATTTATCAATGAATCCATATATTAGATTCATATATAAGTCTTTTTGTGAGTTCGATCTTAATCCGCAAGGGTGTGCTACCTCAGATTGACCAAGAATGAAAAAGGAAGAAAAGAAAAGTGAAAAACAACATGAATTCGTTATATTTGTTAGCAAGCACTCTATACTATTTAAGGCTATTATTCGGCTAAATTTCTACATATATTTCCACATTTGTTTTACCTTAAAAGGATTCTTGAAATCCCTTTGGCTATATCAATGATGTGAATTTGTGATGTCCGTGAAGCTCTTTATTGAATATTTGACCTCTATAGTTCTCCAGACCAATGAGAGTCCAGTTCTTTCATCGTGAACTTTGGTTATCTTGTTTTCCAGTGACGTGATATGATTCTTAGCGTTGAAATTAAACTCTATGTTGCTTTGGAAGTTATGGCTTGACGAAGCTGGGGAGCAACTGTTGTGTTGCTTTTTTGTTGTGTGATTAGCAGCGAAAAGCCGTATTTCGATAATACTGGTCTGAATGTTTTAATTTGATTACTTTTAACTTTATTTTGTAACCGTCGTTCAACAGCCGACTCAATCTTGAGTTTACGACTACCAGTGTTCACCACCGTAATCTTGTAATTTTGAGCCCCATCCAGAAGACAAGGTAACTCCTGGATCAAGTATAGGAAGAAACTTGCCTTCGTGAAGGACTTTTTGATGGAACTTATACGCATTTGCGTTTCAGGGAGAGGAAAACCTCTCACTGTTAGCGTGATGGCAAGGCGACTCTAACCCAT